GACGTGTTGCTAACTTCTTCGCTTCCATTTCCAGCTGTCCCGTTTCCTCCCACGCAGCGGCTCACTCTGAAGGAGGTGTTTGAGGATGGGAAGCCCAGGCTTGACGTCTTGAAGAGCCACTTGGTAAAGGAAGGGCGCCTGGAAGAGGATGCGGCACTGAAGATCATCAACGATGGGGCTGCCATCCTTAGGCACGAGAAGACGATGATTGAAGTGGAGGCTCCCATCACAGGTCAGAGAGCTTTCTGAAGCTCCATCTAGGAGACACGAGCTACTCGAAGTAGCAGGTTTTTTCGAGGGTAGATTTAGATTGGATATAAGAAATTTTTCACTCTGAGGGTGGTGAGGCACTGGACCAGGTTGCCCAGAGAAGCTGTGGCTGCCCCATCCCTGGAAGTGTTCAAGGCCAGGTTGGATGGGGCTTTGAGCAACCTGGTGTAGTGGAGGGTGTCCCTGTCCATGGTGGAGGGGTTGGAACTGGATGATCTTTGAGGTCCCTTCCAACCCAACCCATTCTATGATTCTATTCTATGATTCTGCTGCTTTCCTTTCATTAGCAAGGCTTTTTTAAATTGCCTGAACTCTCAGAAGAGAGGATTTTGCTGGTGTAGGTCGAGTACATCTGTGTAGAAGCTGGATGTAAAGCAGGGGTGGCTTGGGTCAGAGCACAGCCATGCTATGCTCCTTGTTGCTGTCGTGACCTTTCTTTTCTTAGCGTGTAATTCTGTCCCTTTTTTGTGCTGTTCTTCCTCCCCTAGTGTGCGGTGACATTCATGGGCAGTTTTTTGACCTGATGAAATTGTTTGAAGTTGGAGGATCACCCAATAACACCCGCTACCTCTTCCTGGGAGACTACGTGGACAGAGGCTACTTCAGTATAGAGGTGACAAATAAAGTTGAGCCTGGGGGTGTCAGTACTAAACTAACTGAAGGCGTTGAGCTAAGCTAGCAAATACAGATCTCTTATGTTGGATTTTACACTCTAGTGGTTTTGCATGGAATGAAAATCACATTGTAGGTAACTTACAGTATGATTTTTTGGCAGAAAAGTGATGTCCAAATGTCATGACTGAGAACTGGATCCTCACCCAGTGACAGAGTTAAACGGCAGCGGTGGGGTTAAATGACTAAACTCTGGCTTCTGAACTCGAGTTTTAATATCACTTGCAGCTGTCAGTCAGCGAAACAAGAGGGAGAGTTGATTGTATGTTGCAGGCAGCAGGATCCTACCAGGCAGTGGGAAGCAAATGTTTAAAAACTTGCAGGATTCAGCTTAGCTCTGAGAGTGGTGAGGCACTGGCACAGGTTGCCCAGAGAAGTTGTGGCTGCCCCATCCCTGGCAGTGTTCAAGGCCAGGTTGGATGAGGCTTTGAGCAACCTGGTGTAGTGGAGGGTGTCCCTGCCCATGGCAGGGGGGTTGGAACTGGATGATGTTTGAGGTCCCTTCCAACCCAAACCATTCTGTGATTAGCTGGGAAAAGAAAGTGCCACGCTACTGAGTCACTGCCTCCTGCTGTCCCCCTGAAAGCATCAACCTTGCAACGCCGGAAACGGGGTCAAGAAAAAGCAGCAATAAATCCCCTGGGCTGTTGTACGTCTCACTGTGACCCAGGAGCTTGGTGCTGAGGCATTTAACTGTGTATCTGGCCGTGCTGTGCCCGTGTGACAATCTGCCCTGTCACCTCACAGACACCAGCTGCACGTCTGGTGTCACGTTAGGATCTTGCAGCTCTGTGGGATGCCACCGACCGAGCGTTGGGTGATGCTGCGGGTTGTTGGTCCTAAAGGGCAAAGTAAGGGATGGGGCCCCGTGGCTGCTGGTGGCTCACCAAGGACCTGCGAGCGACAGAGCAGGCAGGATGGGAGAGCTGTTAGCACAGACCCCGAGGGATCGCAGCCAGGTTTCACAAAGGCAGAGCCAAGTGGAAGAGAAGAGCTTATTCCAGTTGGAGACAACGTAATGGGGGTTGTTTAGGGGAATGGGGGCATGAAAGGTGGCCAAACTGGTCTGGAATAACAGAGTAAGTGGTTCTGACCTGCGAGCGACAGAGCAGGCAGGATGGGAGAGCTGTTAGCACAGACCCCGAGGGATCGCAGCCAGGTTTCACAAAGGCAGAGCCAAGTGGAAGAGAAGAGCTTATTCCAGTTGGAGACAACGTAATGGGGGTTGTTTAGGGGAATGGGGGCATGAAAGGTGGCCAAACTGGTCTGGAATAACAGAGTAAGTGGTTCTCTTCAAAGAGGGAGGGTGCATAGGACAGTGCAGGAATAGCTGAGCTGTTGGGTCTGCAGAGGAATCTTTTCCAGTTAGATTTTGGGGAGGAAGTCTGATGGACAGTGATGAAGGCAGCTAATGTGAGCGCTTCTTTGAAGGCATCTGCAGAGGATTTAGGAGGGTACCGCCGACAGCTTGTGCTTTAGCAGCGTTCTGGCTTGCTTCCAGCCTCGTGCTCCGTGTGTTCCTAAATACTGACGGGGAGCCAAGGTGTGACGATGAGCAGTTTCCGGGGTAGCGGGGACGGATGCTGGAAAGGTGGGGTTGGGGCTGATGGGATTTCTGGTGGTGCTGGCAGGAGGAGCCCTGTAACCCCTGGGGAGGAAGGGGAGGAACAGGCATCCGACCGCTTGTTTAAATGGTTTGGAGCGTGTAAACTGGGTTTGCAGTACGTCCACCTGGAAAAGAGACAATGCTATAGCACAGCAACTCTTTCCGAGATAAGATGTGGAATTTTTTTATTCATTTATTTTTTAATTAACCAAGAAACCTTCCGACGACAGTTGTTGTGCGCATGAATTTTACAGATCCTGGGTGGTGAATTGCTTCTCCCACTCTTTGCACTTAACCCTGTGATTGATCTGACACGGAGATTTTACCCCCGGATCTGCAGAAGTGAGTGCCCGAGTTGGAGATCAGTGCCCTTGTCTGTCCATGCTGTTGATACTATGGAAGAATTCCAGGGGAATGGATGATGAATCTGCCTTGGAGAACAGAGGTGGTGGGAAGAGGTGTTTTATTTTTTTGAGGAGGAAGGTCTGAAAATTATAGGTAAACCTCATCAGGTCTGTGTTGTGGCCAGGGCTTGTGCAAGACAGTCGGTGTTTTCAGACTCAAGAGCCTTGGAGCAGCTGATCTTTGTCAGCTTTGAGCAGAAACTTTTTATTTTATGCCGCTTTTGACTCTTCTCCTTCCTCTTTCCCCCCACATCTGCAGAGGGAGAGCTGGCATTGATCTCTCACGAATCAGGGTGGGCTTTGATTAGTACACGCGGGGGCTGATCCAAATGTCACTGATAAAGCAGAATGGAGAAGGCTTGATTCCCTCGTTCCTATTGACGTGTGCCTCTTCTTTCCACCTACTGCAAAGTGCAGCCCGTGTGTTTTAAGAGGTTCCCACCTGGGTGTGCAGAAACTGGTTTCTAAAGCGAAACGACAGGAGGTTTGCTGCTGGCGTGGAGGATCGCCACGAGCAAAGAGTTAATGGTGCCAAATAGGTGTCTCTGCGTTATTTTATCTTTTTTTTTAAAGATTTCTGTAAAATGCAAAGCTGTAGCAGCTGGCCTCTGAAGCACAGAGATGGCTGACCTGTGAACATTTGGGGTTTGGAGTTTTGATGGCTTTATCCCAGAGGCTCAGGTGATGGAAACGCATCCAGGTTTCCCTGGTGCTTTCACCACTGGGAAGGTGGAGGGAGCCGGCGCCAGCCAGGCTTGCGTGAGTCACCGCACAAACTTGTGCCTCCGTGTGCTGGGTGGGGATATTATGGAGTGCCTGCCCAGAGCAGTTGATCATCATGACCTTTTGACTGAATGAAATAGGAGGTAATTGTATAATTGCATCCTGATGCAGGCAATCAGGAAACAAGATGCAAAACTGGGGGCCAAGGAGGTGTTAAGGCAAACCCGTGGTGCTTGTTGGCAGCCCAAACAACCCTTGCGAGCTTTCCCCGTTGCTGTGAGTGTTTGGTTGTCAAGGGAAAAGGAGCAGTTTGTGGCTCAGACAAAACCTTTAAAAACCCCAAAAGCCTCCGTTCATCAGCTCAGCTGGATGTCTTCAACAAATTATTTCTGGGTCTCTGGCTGAGGGAAATTCTCATTTAAAAACATTCATTCCCAGTGAGTATAATGAGGCCGTGAAGCGTGGTTTGGTTGGGGTTTTTTTTTTTAAAGAAAGAGTTTAAGGGGGGAAAGGGGAGGGAAGCAGCCGTGTGAAAGCCGAGATGGCTGCTGTCTGGTGGAAGAGGACTCTGCAAAGCGTTGGCTTTCAGTCCGTGCCACAAAACCCGCTGCGACAGCGAGACGAACTGGCCACGGACTCGAACGTTGCAGCCAAGGGGCTGACAGGCAGCATGGAAATCGGGCTGAGCACCTCCCTTGGGAGATCAGCATCCCGATGCAGACTGAGGAGGGAATCCTTCAAGTAGGAAAGATGCTGCCTTCAAAGTGCTTTAAGCTGTTAGTTACATCTCCTAGCCCTTACACAAGAGAGGTCTGTGCCCGTGGTAGTCAATGAGGGACCATCCTGCTCCGTGAAGCCAGAACTACCGGAATACAATGAATAGAAATGTTTTATTAAATTATAAAGTGAAACAATTACTCTGACCAAAAATAGAATCTATGGAAAGAGTAGATTTATCAGTAAAAATGGCACGATAATGGCATACACCTCTGCCAGACTAGTTTTTCAAATCCAGTTATGATGGGACACGATTGCTGCCTAATTACAGACTTGTACATACAGTAATCCTGCCAGGATTGAATACCCTGTTTTATCCAGAATAATATTAAAGAGATCCAATGAGTGTTGTAAGGCGTGAGCAAAGGTAGATTTGTGGGCCAAACACAAGAGTTTTCCCGTGCTGTTTCTTCTCTCCTTGTGCTGGGAAGAGTTTATAACTTCTTGTAAATGCCTGGTTTTATAAATGGTACAAGGGGATGCTGTAAGTGGTGTGGGGCTTGTTGCGGGCAGGTTTGGCAGCAGCCCCTCTTGCATTTGCTCGGGATTCCAGGTAGGAATTCCTCTTGCAGCCCCTACACCGTGACCTGCTGAGCTTTCCCCTTGCAAGGGTGGGAATCAGATGGGACCACGAGCCCAAATGCTTTGGGCTTTGAACTGAAAGGCAGAAGAGGGAGAGAAGGAGAGTATTTAAGCCTAGTAAGCCGTAATTGTCTCGAGTTGCTACTAGGCTATTGTAAACATGCAGTAATCAATTCCTGGGCACGGTGCCTCGAAAGCCTGGGACGGGGATCTGTACAAAACGCCAGGAAGCATCCGAGGTATGCGAGTGTAGAAACCTCCCTTGTTGCTCCTTCCAGCCCCTCTGGAGCTCACGAGGGCTGTTGAATGTCCTTCACTCATCGTTACCCCACTGATACCTGGCAGCCCCCGTGAAACCCCGTGAGCCACGGGGAGCTGCAGCGATACTGGAGACGTTGGCTCTCGACGCCTGTGGTTTGCTTGCTGTGTGCCCAGGAAGAATTGTGGTGCCGAGTGACTCCGTTCACTTCCATTTCGCTTCAAAATGTATTTTTAAATACCTCTTCTGCGGGTTGCTGACCTTCTGTACAGCCCAAATCCTCCTTTTTGTAGGCGGAGTGTCTCTGCTTTCTTGCTTTGCTTTGAACTGGTCGTGCCACGGCTGGCTGCTTTCTCCAGTCCTTAGCAAGTTGTTTGCCTCATTTATAGTGACTTTCACTTTCCAGTTCTCATGCTAGCCCAGAAAAGTGACGTTTAGGTTGCAAACACGGGAGGTTAAAGCTTCAGATCTCAGAATAATTATAAATGGGTTTGTTGGGAACATTTCTTCTGTTAATGGATGCAATAAAACGCTATTTTTTGCAAGCCTTAACCACAGCTTAAATTACCTGCCACCAGCCCTGTTTCTGTTGAATTTTAAAACTCAGAATTTGCTATCCAGTCTTTTTCGGTGGGGTTGAATTGTGAGTTAGACACAGACGAGTGCTTTACAGCTCCTTGGGGTTTTAGGGATCCCTGCATGTGTCTGGAATGACTAATGTAGAGCTTACCTTGCAGGTTCAGTGCTTAAATACCATGATATCTAAGGTGCCTGTACTGGAAACGAACGTGAAACTGGTTTAATTTGGTTCCGGAGGTTGTTTCTGTGCCACAGCAGCTGGTTCCCGGAGATTTGTGCACCAGATCAGCAATGTTTTTAAGTGTAAAACTGTTGACAGGCTTCATGGTTCACATTCTCAAAAGCGTGTGCCGTTTCTGTAGCATGTCAGCCTAAAGGGTAAGCTCTTATTAGAGACTTTAATCCAGATCTTCAAGCTTGCTGTCGTTGTGGGTTGTCCTTCCAGCACTCAAAATCAACAAGGGAAATGTGATAACGCACTAGATAGCAGCTGATTTAGCTGTCAGCTTGACAAGGTATAGCACAGAAGGGCGAGCACGCTTGCTTTCCAGCCCTTCCCTTCTTCACAGAGGCTTTTTGGAAAGCCACCACGAAAGATTTTCTGGGGCTCTGGTAAATACGATCGCTTCAGTTTGACTTTGGCCTGTGCCTCATCAAAGATGATCTTTTTACAGGTGTTGCTGCTCAGATAGGGGATGTGGAAAGCCCTCTTCAAAGCCAGGAGGCTTTACTAAGCTTGTTTTTTGGCTTGGCTTTTCCTGTTTTGAACTCGAACTTCACATGACTGTAGCGTAAGCAGAAAAACGGAGGCGGGGAAAGTCAGCGGCGAAGATCAAGTTTAATTTTTTTTCTGGTGTTTCATGCACTTGATAAAACGGCCGGCGAGGTGGCCGGCTCTTGTACTCGATGGTCTCTGGTTTGGGTTGCAGTGGGACATCTGGAGAGCACGTCTCGCTGCGCAGCTGGTTCTGCTTTGCTGCTCTGAAAATGGGTGCCTTTTGCTTTGGTTTCTGCTGGGAGGAAGAGCTGCCCCCACCCAGCCCAGAGCTGGTTTCAGTTGAACGCGATCTCATTTGTCACTTCTCCAACTCAAGCCTAATATAGAGAAATGCTCCGTGTGGCTTTTCCCCCACTGCTGAAGTTGGCCAAGATAAGATCTACTGCCGATTATGGAGCTGGGTTTCTATCAGGGTTCCACTTTGAATTCAGCTTGTTGGGTGTCTTCCCAGAAACACTTAGTAAAGTCTCCGGATGATTAGTGCCCTATAAAAGGTTTTTATTACATGCCGTCTCCTCCTTCCCTTTCTTGCAGTGCGTGCTGTATTTATGGAGTTTAAAGATAAATCATCCCAAAACATTGTTCCTACTTCGAGGGAACCACGAGTGCAGGCACCTCACAGAATACTTCACCTTTAAGCAAAAAAAAGTATCAGCAGTGTAAGGAGGATTTAAGTAGATTAACGTGTTGTGACCAGGTGTGGGTCTTAATTTTTGTGCCTGTTATGAGTGGTATCAGCTAGCTCTGGAGCTGTAAAAACCTGTCATCTTTTTTTTCCTGAGCACATAACTCTTCCCCTGTTTCAGTTTCTGCTAAAAAATTAAAAAAAAAAAAAAAACACAAACCTAAACCCCAAATATATAAGTCCTGTAAAATACTGAGTGCGTGTTGATGTGGCCTTCTGGTTACAAGGAATGAGCGTGGATGGAAGAAATGTGAACACATCTTCCCTGTCTCGCTGATGAGCCAGTTGCATGCGCCCCCCCCTCCCTGACTTTCAGGCCCAGCAACATATAATTAACTGCCAAATGACTTTCAGCTCCAGATTGTGCAGCTGGGATCGGTGATTACAATTGGAAGCAAATAAAGGATTTGTTCCTCAGTGTTTGCACTAAGGAGAATCATTACCTTTAAGATGGTTTTAGTTGAGTTAAAGATAGTTTCGTGCGGCGTTTACGTATTTTTAAACCAACCATGATGAAAGGTTGGGGAATGACCCCTCTCCCGTGAGGATGACAGTCATTCCTCCAAGCAATAAAAAAGGTATACACCAGCAACGTGCAGCACTCTGTTAGGGAATAGTTGCTCAAGCACCTGACCTCAAGAAATAGTTACGGGCAAGGCACAAGTCCAATCTTTAGCCCTTCAGCTCTGGATGCTGCTGGACAAGGGTAAGGCTGATAGGTACCGAGATAATGACATCTGTTGACTCAGAAATGAGCTGGAAAACACCAGCCAGCTCTCTGCTGGATGCTGTAGTCATCAGATGGTGGTAGATGAGCTCCTGTTGAGCTGGGCTCAGTCTGAACCAGAGAGCCAGAGGTGATGGGTTTTTATTTTTCCCCTTTGGAAAGCAGAAGATACTACCTGTCTGCTTCCTGTGTCATAGTGTGCAGCTGAAAAAAACCTGTTAGTATCTCTGAAATAAAGCTGGGGGAAAGATAAACTTTCCATTCATGCACTTTTCTGCTTTAGGCAGAGATGTGTTTCATAGCAGTATCAGGGCTTTCTCAAAGATCTGGCCATGTTCACACATCGCTGCGCGGCGAAGGGGTCGCAGATGCAAGAAGAGACGCGCTTGATGTGCGCTGAGCTCTGCTCCTGCTCTCTGTTCTAATGGGAAGCATTGGGAGATATTTCTGAGGATACTTGGAGACTTGCTGTAAGAGCTAAGCTGCTCTCAGGAAGGCCATGGTGTCTCTGTTCAATGTATTGAAACATCCTCTCCACCTCTGTCGAGATGAGGCGTCCAGCAGAGCTGTAGCCCTGAAAGATCCCGTGTGAAGACTCGTTCAGCTGCAGGCATCTTGGTCAAATTCTGACTCAGCACGCTCGTGTCCAGCCGAAAAGGCAATTCCTATCTTAAAGGATTGTGTAATATTGCTGTGACAAATTAAACAGCTGCTGCATTTCCCAGTGTGTCATCTGCCCAACAGCTGAGGCTGGTAAGACTCTTTGAGTCTGGAGGTGCAGTCTGAATGTAGGAAAGTGATGGGATGACGTTATTAGTGTCCCAAGTTTTCTATTACAGTGGGGAGCACCCAACCTCTTTTCTGTGTTAATCTTAGTGCAGGTGTTCTAGAAAATAGCTTGAAGGGAGATTAATATGCCTGACCATGTCTGGATTACTGTGAAGCCTTTTTATCTTCATGTCCGATGAGCGTTTTCAAAGTCAGCATTTCCACTAATAGACGGGTGCAGAGTTCGACTTGGTGGGCTGTAGATGTCGAGTTTCCTGGTGGCTTTAGGAGCTCGTCTCCTTGAACTTATTTCTCAGCACTTTGGCTGATCGAAGCTTTGCTTAATGCTTCTTATATCGTGTAGGTTTGGATGCATGAATGACTCCCCCTTAAAAGAGAAAAGATTAAAAAAAAAAAAAACAACTCTACTTTCAGCCTGAGCAGTCTTTGTTGTGTAAATGAATTCAATTCTTCCCCCTCTTCTTCCTCCCCCTGCCCCCTCATCTTTCCAGGTCGAATCAAGTATTCGGAGCGAGTGTATGACGCGTGTATGGATACATTTGACTGTCTTCCTCTTGCTGCCCTCTTAAACCAGCAATTTCTGTGCGTTCATGGAGGACTGTCTCCAGAAATCACGTGTCTAGATGACATTAGGAAAGTAAGTAATCTCTGTGGTCCTTTCACGTAGCTTACAATTAATTAACAGCGCGGTTAATGACTTGATTCCTGCGTGGGGCTGCAGGTTGAGGCTCCTGCGCTCTGCCCGTCCGCACCGTCGGCGTGCGTGTGCTGCTGCAGCTTTCACCAGCGTTGCCCTGATTTCCTGTACGTTTTCCAGTTAGACAGGTTTAAGGAGCCTCCAGCCTTTGGTCCGATGTGTGACCTGCTCTGGTCCGATCCGTCGGAGGATTACGGCAACGAGAAAACGCTGGAGCATTTCGCCCACAACACTGTTCGAGGCTGCTCCTATTTCTACAGGTAAGGGGTGTTTTAGAGGGCTCTGGTGGACTAGAGAGCTTCGTCTGCCCTTGCACTACGGTGTGTGGGGAGATAAATTGCTATCCAGCTCACTCGGTGGGACTTCACAGTGTGTCTGGCTCTGAAATAGCCATTGGTTGGCTCTAATGCACAAAATCTTGTTTGTTTTTACTGCTCCTGTAATATTGAGCTCTCTTTGGATATGTTGCCCTATGAAATTGTGGGATCAGACAGCAGAGATGCTTCTTTTAGCTGGCAGGGTGCCTTTTGAGTGGTTTTCAGGCATTGGACAGGACCAGGAGCTCTAGGAAATAATCTTTTCCTGTCTAAAAGAGAAGCGTTTGTGCTGACAGACCGTTTGTAGCCCAGCTGATAGGGAGGATTTGGCACCGGGGGTCTGTTTAACAGAATGCTTTGCAATTAATTTTTGAATGATGTAATACAAACTGGCCTTGTTTGGGGATGCTGGACACAAACCGAATGGATGCTGCAAGTGGCTGGTTCCTGCAAGCAAGACCACGGGGGCTGTCTGTTCTCCTGTGCTACGTGCTAACGTGTACTTTGCTTTTTTTGTTTTCCAGTTATCCTGCAGTTTGTGAATTTTTGCAGAACAATAGTTTGTTATCCGTAATCCGAGCTCACGAAGCTCAGGATGCTGGGTAAGTGCTGCAGCCTGGTAGCTGAGCAGGCCCTGTCTGTGTTCATGCTCTCCTTAGCAAGACCAGTGTGTTTAACGCCTGACCTGTTTTTCAGGTACCGAATGTACAGGAAGAGCCAGACGACAGGCTTTCCGTCGTTAATCACAATCTTCTCTGCACCAAATTACCTAGATGTCTATAACAACAAGGGTAAGGCTGGCAAGGCCAGGGCTCTGCTGCTCTCCGGGTGTCAGTGCCATCCTCACGTGCTTAGGAAATGCCTCTCCATCTCCCCTTGCCTTGCCTGCTCTGCCCTCTCCTTAGTTGCATTCTTAGGAGTGAAATGAAAAAGAGCTTTATATGCTAAACTGGCGGCAGCTGGGGAGCTGGAAGTGGCTGGATTCTCTGACTCGAACACTTAATGTGTTACTGTGGCAATTAGCTGTCAAGTTATGAAGCCCAGAATAATGCTTGCGTGTCCAGCCACAGGACAACTGAGCGCTATTGATGAATGCTGCCATAAAAGAGAAGCTGCTGGTACAGGCAAGATTTAACTTCCCTGTGTCCCTAAACCCGTATGAGTCCGAGGGGGAACTTTCCTCGACCGAGGGGTTTTTAGCCCTCGCTTTGGATCGTGGCCCCGTGTTCATCGCTTCTCATTTGCATAAATTTTAACAGCTTTGTGGAATTGACCTTCGCTGTTCCAATGAGCTTTAGTGAAACAACTTTTAATGAGTAAACTGAAAAAAATACTGCTTAAACCCTCTCATTCTGGAGACCTGGTAGTTTGATTCTGCATGAGCGCAACCTCTTGTTGATCATGAAGTTTAATTAGTGCAGGTACAACTCCCAGGAGCTGACGGCGCCTGAGGACACGTGTTGTCTTTCCTCTTCTAGCTGCTGTACTGAAATATGAAAACAATGTCATGAACATCAGGCAGTTCAACTGTTCCCCTCACCCGTACTGGCTTCCAAACTTCATGGATGTCTTCACATGGTCTTTGCCTTTTGTAGGGGAAAAGGGTAAGAGATATTTAGGTTTTTGTTACGAGTTGTCTGTTGACTGGTTGTAGTACCCCAAGTGTTAGAAACCTGTCCCACGGGTTATTGAATGTGTTGGGAGAGTGTTGTGACTCATTAATACCAGATAACGCTGGAAAGTAGTTGAGGTTCAAGGAGATCTGCATGTTACTGGGTAAAGTTCATGTGAAAATAATTGTGGGTACCTGTTTTCAAAAGCTTTTACCAATGAAATGATCCCTTCTTGCTATTTCTGCATTGCTCATAGAGCTGATCTGGGGTGATGTAGCCCCACCTCAGAATTTGGAGACGTTTCTCTTGCTCTTGGTTTGCAACAGAGAAATTAAAATCTCCTGTTGGCTCGTGGCCCACGAAAAAGGAGGCATTCACTTCAGTTTAAAGGCTTATTTCATTCTGAAGGAGGCGAGGCAGCTTAGAATATGACCAAGACTTTGCCTCGATTTCTCAGCAAAAGGGTTTTTACATCTCCTGGCGAGTTTAGATTCCGTCCCAGCGTGTTAGATGTTTGGAGTATGACTTAAAGGTCTGAAGTGCCAAAGGCTTTTTGACTTTGAGGAACCGAAGGTTGAATTCCCCCCAGATCTGATGTTCTTGGAGCCAGGTGGCCTGTTGTGCGGGTCGGGGTGGGGAGCTGGGACCTTCCACGAGCCCAGGCTGTTCTGTATGAATGTTGGCACCGCACTCCCCACGTCTGTTTCATCTGTGATGTGCTTGGACTGCATCCACCTCCTTGGCAGAAGGTGTAAAGTATGTCGTCTGCTCCGGGTACTGCTGCGAGGTACCAGCAGTATGTGCCTAAAAGTGTCTTTGGACTTCCAGAGCATGAATGACCTTGAATTTGCTTGTCCAGCTCGTCCTCCAAATGCTTCCGTCTGCCAAGCGTGCGCACCAGGTCTCTCTAATCTTCCTGTCTGTGCTTCTTACAGTCACAGAAATGCTCGTTAACATCCTCAACATATGCTCCGATGATGAGTTGATTTCAGATGGCGATGAGACGTTGGAAGGTAAAAAATGCTGTTAGGACCGAGCTGGTATCAGTGGGGGGGTGAAGGTGGGGAAGGCGTTTGATGCTAGCTCAACTTGATTTATAGCTGGATGCCCAGCCAGGGTCTCCAGTTCCTTTTTGGCCAACCCTTGTGCATTTCTGGGTAGGAAACAATTTTTTTTTTTTCCTTTGCTATTCAGTCACAGAGAAATTAAATTATATTCACTGCGACAGATGCTTCTTGCCAGCTACCCTGGAGAATGGTTTCCTGCTCCTTACAGAGACCGCTTCCCAAGTGGTTATTTTTTCCCCCAGTTCAAAATTTTCTGCACCAGAATATCTACCCAATCTTCTCATCTGTTGCAGTGAACTCCTCTGTAAAGTGACTTCTTGTGTCACACCAAAAAAAAAAAGTAGAATGCAGTTTTTTCACCCCGGTTTTAAGCCGTGCATGAAAGGGACAGAACAGTTGTGGAGCTGATGTGCAGTTTCTGTGTCGGGGGGGATGGCTGGAGAAGCGAGGTGGTGACCCAGAGGAACTTTGGGGGCGTCGTGGGGGTCCGGGGGAGCTGCCGGTACAGATCCGTGCAGCGTGGAGGCCCGTCAGCCCCGCAGAGAAGCAGAACACCGTTGTGGTACAACAAGGTGCCGCTGCTTCCGTCAACAGCTCGAGACTTTAACCCGCTTCTCCCATTGCATTTCGTTTTTGTTTTTTTTCTTTCTCCCTCCCATGAAAATTAAATTTGTTTCTTCTATCTCTGTCTTCATCTACTTGTTTCTTGGTGTCTCCTCTCCCTGAAGATCACTACATTTCAAGCTATCAGAAAGGTACCCAGCTAGAATTTGCTACAAGCTTAATTTTCACTGCCTGTGCCACCAGATTCCTTGGAGTGGATTTGAATAGCTGACTAGTTGGGCAGTCTCTTCATCCCCTTTCAGTTTTAACATAAGCGCCGTGTGTTTTTTAACCCTTCTGCGTTCCTCCAGGAACTTGAGAAACGGGGTCACGTTTCTATCTGACTTCTGAATGCAGCCACTTAGTGCATGGCTGAGCCATCGGTGCATGTTAGACCTCCGGTTTGGCTTGTACTGTCCTAATGTGTAGTTGGGCCATGTGAGGAATCTCAGCTGAGAGGAGATGTATTTGTTACCTCTTTTACTTTGATTTTTTTTTGTTTGTTTGTTTGTTTTCAGTTACCCTCCATGCTTTTCTCTCATGTCGGGGTCTGTATAGCGGAAGGGGAGTTCACATATCTCACTTTGTGTTTGTGTGGGGTCAAAGCAGAGTTGCAAGGCTCCGGCCAGCCCTTCCCTGTGCGCGTTGGATGCCAAAGCTGATGCTTGCGTGACACTCCTCCCCGCGGCGAGCACAGCCCGGTGTTCTGCAGTGTTCATCAGCAGTCAGATTCGTCAGTGTTCTGCCTTGCAAAACTGTGTCTACATGGCTGAGTCATTTGTGTTACATCCTGTGTAGTGTGATCGAACCTGGTGAGCTTCGAACGAGACCTATCCGATCCGTTTCCTTTGGTGGTTCTACTGTCTTTTAGACCTTTAAGTCCGTGTGTCATCTCGTTGGTGTTGCCCTTCTCACTGCCATCCAGACCGCCATCCTCTCAGCACTGTTCTCTCAAGACTGTAGCTGTGAATCCGTAAACCATGATTTCTTTTCCTGGAGTCGGGCAGGTGCTTCATGTTGACATCACCTGTGCCTGGAAAGAAGGAAACCTTAAACATGCTGGTGTTTCTTTTTTTTTCTCTCTCTAAGGTGGGACAACAGTCCGTAAAGAGATCATCAGGAATAAGATTAGAGCCATTGGGAAGATGGCACGTGTCTTCTCGGTTCTTCGGTAAGGGAGAAGCTTGTGATTTGGGGTCTGGGTAACGGGGGACGCTGGGTCAGGCTGCTCCATGCAGGCAGAGCCCTGCTGGGAAAATACTTTTTACAAGGGTTTATAGCGATAAGACACAGGGCAATGGCTTTAAATTGAAAGAGGATGGATTTTGATTAGATATAAGGAAGAAATTTTTTACACTGAGGGTGCTGAGGCACTGGACCAGGTTGCCCAGAGAAGCTGTGGCTGCCCATCAGTGCCCAGCAGACCAGGCGCCCGCTGCCCGCAGTCAGCACAGGGCAGACCCCACTTTTCATCCCTCCGCCGCTGATGGCCTTGCATGGACCTGACTGAGCGCTGCACGAACTTCTCACTGACCAGTTGTGTTGCCTCTTCCTTGCAGGGAGGAGAGCGAGAGCGTGCTGACTCTCAAAGGCCTGACTCCCACAGGTACACTGCCCCTGGGAGTGCTCTCAGGGGGGAGGCAGACCCTACAGACCGGTGAGTATGAACCGTCCTCCCCTCTGCGACACTGCGTCCCCTCTGCAGTTTTACACCTGGCCCTCAGCTGCCCCAAAAACCTTTCCATCGGTTCCCTGTAGGCGTGTTTCAGGGTGCAGGGAGACCCAAGAGGTGGTTGAGGCCCACGGGGAGGAAGGATTCAGAAATAGGATAGAGAAGAAATGTAGGTGGGGATGTGGAGAGCCGTCCAAGATGTCCCCGTGTACCCTCGAGGAGGAGAACGCGAGGAAGAAAAAAGACAACAAGCAGCACCCTGCCTAAAGCATGCCTATCGCTTTATTGTATGTTTCTGCAACGATTTTTGTCATTTATTTCCCTTCTCACGCTGCATGACAAGCATCCTCTGCTTCACCTGCCTGCTGCTGCTGTGTGATGGCGTCTCTACCAACGTCGCAGCAAACACACTGCTTGTTTGTTCTTTGTTCAGCGAAACCCCTCGGATTTTGACCCCATGAAATTGCGAATCCCATACAGAGGAAGCTTAGATTTAGTTGAATTCAAAATTCTTTCAGGCCTGTATGTTTCATATTAAGACTTCTCTCAGCCCCCTGGTTTTGGAGGGTTTTTTTCCCAGTGTTTACTGGCAAATACTTCGCTCCTTCCCTCAGCAGCCAACTGGTCTGTCCTATTAGTGTGCTGAGAGCAGGAGCGAGCCAGCGACCTGCGTGCTTTAAACTCGCAGGGCAGGGAAGGTTGGCCAGTGGTCAGGGAGTGAGTTATCACAGTGACATGTGTCCCCAGAGGGAATCCTGTAATCTAGTGGTTTAATCCTTTCCTGCCACCAGCCTTCGAGTGCTGGCGCCGGACCAGCCTGCTTTTCCCCTTCCGATCGGCGCTGGGTGGTTTCCTGCGGGCTCCGAAGAGGGCTTGTTCTGGGATCGCCGTGCCTTGGTTAAATAGTTCCCAAGTGAGAAACATGGAAATAGAAACATGGAAATATTGCTGCCCGCTCCTGGGGGTGGGGAGGATGCGCTGTTGCTCCCAAGCTCATGGGTTTCTCTGCCTGCAGAAGAGTAGGAGATTTTTGGGGTTTTTTTATAGCAACCATAATGGTTTTGTGTCGCCCCAGTTCTGCTGCAGGCATGGGAACAGAGCCTGAGTGGGAAGGCGACTGTTACAGCTCAACTCGAGCAGCCAGCTCGCTCGTGG